AAACGTTTCGGAATAAAGTTGCCTAACTGTTGCCTATGTGTCTTACCTACCAACCTGTCGGTATTGTATACCATTTTGATGTTCATCTTGTCAGACACTGCAACACATGGCCTCTTGGTACAGAAAACGCCTTAGACAACCCTTTCAAGTGAGAACTGTTGGATCTGTGAGGGACCTGACCTCTCAGTGGCTACATTCTCACTACTACTACTACTACTCTGCACCTCTCTTTCCGACAGTATTTAAGTCTCCGCACTGTCGCTTGATCTTCAGATAGTTCCTGACTATGGAACTGAACTTCTCCAGGACGAGGGACTGACAACCTCAAATTCTACGACTTCAAGGGTGATGGACTGATTACATCGTCTTCACATCTCTACTGTTCCTGCCTACTTTCTGTATTCGACTGAAGAAGCCTACTGTGTAGGCGAAACGTTTCGGAATAAAGTTGCCTAACTGTTGCCTATGTGTCTTACCTACATACCTAACTGTTGCATATGTGTCTTACCTAAACAATTCCTATGTTGTTGGGTTGGTGGTGCTTAAGTATCATGTATGCCAATGTTTTGGAAATTTTGTAGTTTCCTGTGTTACGTTCTATAGTGTCGGTGACGGCGATTAGTCATAGTGTTTGCTTACGTGTCTTTCTAAACCAACTTGTCGGTATTTATTACCAAGGTTTATACCATAGAACAGTCTTAAACTAATGTTCAGTCTTAAACTAAGAAGACTGTGTGTCTACGAACAATAAAACTTGACAACACACATTCTCCAGCAGCCTTACTTCCCCACATTCTCTCCGGCAACCTTACTTCTACACCCCTTTCCTTCACAATCTTAGTCCAGCACATGTTCGCCCACAGCAAAAAAACAAGAAGGCACAATACCGCAACTGGAACAATATCCAAGCTGGTCCGAAACGTCGTCATATGTTTCTTTTTTCCTATGTGGAACTGTTAGGTAAGACACACATGCAACAGTTAGGTATGTGCAAGACAGGTATACAATATATAGTATATAAGAACATAAGAACATAAGAACGAAGGAACACTGCAGAAGGCCTACTGGCCCATGCGAGGCAGGTCCAAGTCTCCTACCGGCTTAAGCCAATGCACCCAACCTAGTCAGGTCAGGTCATATTGACTTAAGGGAGGAACACGGCAACCGACCTGGTAGCACAAGCTATCAGGTCTAACGCACACCCACCCACATCTACTCGTGTATTTATCCAACCTATTTTTAAAGCTACACAACGTTCTGGCCTCTATAACGGTACTTGGGAGTTTGTTCCACTCATCCACAACTCTATTCCCAACCAATACTTTTTATATCCTTCCTAAATCTGAATTTTCCAATTTAAAAAACCATTGCTGCGAGTCCGTCTAGGCTAGATATTTTCAGCACACTATTTACATCCCCTTTATTTATTCCTGTCTTCCATTTATACCCCTCAACATATCTCCCCAAATTCTACGTCTTTCTAGAGAGTGCAGTTTCAGGCCCTTATTCTATCCTCATAGGGAAGGTTTCTGTACATGGGGTCAACTTTGTCATCTCCTTGTACATTTTCCAGAGAAATTTAAAATCCTTCTGTAATACTGACCAAAAATTGCACAAAAACAAATGGGCCTAACCAAGGGTGTAAGAGTTTTAAAACAACCCGAGAACTCCTATTATTTATGCTTCTTGATATGAAGCCAAGGATTCTATTAGCTTTATTGCGAACACTTATGCACTGTTGTCTTGGTTTAAGATTACTGCTAACCAGAACTCCTAAATCTTTTTCGCAATCCGTAATATTAAGATCTACATTATTTAGTTTATATGTGGCATGGTTATTGTCCTGTCTAACATTTAGAACTTTGCATTTGTCTATATTAAACTGCATCTGCCACTTCTCCGACCACTGCATCAGTCTATTCAAATCTTCCTGGAGTGCTCTAATGTCCTCGTCAGAGAAACGTTTCGCCACACAGTGGCTTCATCAGTCCAATACAAAGTAGAAATGAACATTAAAATGGTATAAAATACAGACAGGTTGTTAGGTAAGACACATATGCAACAGTTAGGTATCTTTATTTCGAAACGTTTCGCCTACACAGTAGGCTTCTTCAGTCGAGTACAGAAAAGCTGATAGAAGCAGAAGATACTTGAAGACGATGTAATCAGTCCATCACCCTTAAAGTTTTGAGGTGGTCAGTCCCTCAGTCTGGAGAAGAGCATTGTTCCATAGTAGGAAACAATATGGAGATGAAGTGACAAATTGGAGCCTTATATAGCGCCAAGAGGTGAGACGTAGGTCACTAGAAGAGGTAAGAACTCATATGTTGTGAGGTCAGGTCCCTCTCAAATCCAGCCGTTCTCACTAGTGGAGGTTGTCGAAGTTGATTGCAGGTCTGTACCAAGATACCCTTGTGTTGCAGTGTCTGACAGAATGAACATTAAAATGGTATAAAATACCGACAGGTTGTTAGGTAAATGGTATAAAATACCTGTCGGTATTTTATACCATTTTAATGTTCATTCTGTCAGACACTGCAACACAAGGGTATCTTGGTACAGACCTGCAATCAACTTCGACAACCTCCACCTAGTGAGAACGGCTGGATTTGAGAGGGACCTGACCTCACAACATATGAGTTCTTACCTCTTCTAGTGACCTACGTCTCACCTCTTGGCGCTATATAAGGCTCCAATTTGTCACTTCATCTCCATATTGTTTCCTACTATGGAACAATGCTCTTCTCCAGACTGAGGGACTGACCACCTCAAAACTTTAAGGGTGATGGACTGATTACATCGTCTTCAAGTATCTTCTGCTTCTATCAGCTTTTCTGTACTCGACTGAAGAAGCCTACTGTGTAGGCGAAACGTTTCGAAATAAAGATACCTAACTGTTGCATATGTGTCTTACCTAACAAAGTAGAAATGGGTTGATAGAAGTTGATAGAAGCAGAAGAGGCTGGATTAAGCCAGTAGGTGGCCTGGACTTGCCTAGCATTGGCCAGTAGACCTGCTGCAGTGCTCCTTCTTTCTTATGTTCTTATGTGTGGGTTATTTGTGTATTCTCTCACAGCTTTACTCCAACACGCATTCTACCACAACCTCGTCCCAACACATTTTCACCCCCATTCTATTCATTCACTCCTATTCATCGTCTGTATTTGACCTTCAAATCGAGTTGTGACGAGACAGACACAGGTACCTCCCCTTCCCCGAGTACCTGACATGTTCTCAAAGTCACTGTCATCAGAATTTCTCCTTCACCTCTTTACACTATCTTCATCATCATCGTTACCTTCGCAGTATCGCCCTCACCATCAACAGGACCTACCCATCCGCTTAACACCAATTACGATTATATAAGCTGACGTAGACAGACACACGTCTATCACTCCATTTTTCCGTACATCTTCAAACACAAAATTATTATATAAAAAGTAACTAAATCCGTCTGGGTTATACAAGATCATACCAGTATAGCAGAACGCTATTGTCTCGGGAATGGTGCTTGTATCTTATATCAGGGATCATTCCTATATCAGGAATCCTTCTTGTATTAAGTATCCTTCTCGTATGGGGAAAAGTTCACCCTTTCTCTAGACTTGCTAAACGCTTCCAAAATTTACTATGTACAGTTCCCATGTTATTTCACTTGCCTGACGGGTCCGAAGTCAATTAGTAAAAAGAGAAGAGGGAAAGAACGAGAAGAGGTAAAATAAGTTGAAGGAATGATGAGTGGAGAGAGGGAAGGGGAAGTGCATTTACCCTGGACGTGTTTCTTTGTGTAATTATCGATGGACGTTTATACACAAAGACACAGCAGCCGACAGAGGCAGACAGAAACAAGGACATTAGTACAGAGAGAGAGACAGACAAAGAAACAGACGGAGACACAGGGAGGGAGAGAGAGAGAGAGAGAGAGAGAGAGAGAGAGAGAGAGAGAGAGAGAGAGAGAGAGAGAGAGAGAGAGAGAGAGAGAGAGAGAGAGAGAGAGAGAGAGTAGCAACAGCTACCTGTTGAATTACACTGTGTACAAGTGCACGGGGAGTGAGTTACCTCAGTTATGTCTCTCGTGGGGCTACCTAAACGTTAACAAAAGCTGTTCTGACCCTTTTTTCGACATGTGAATACAGTGGCAAATTTTAAGCTATTACGGACCTTTTTTTCCATTTTTTGTTGTTGTTACTATGTTGATCATGTGTGAGGGAAGTGATTCTATTTTTATAACCCTGAAGGGAATTCTCAAAACTGGTTTTTGTATGCAATACTTAGTAACGTGATTATAAAATTGTTGGTGGGAAGAGTTGTATCGCTATTTAAGAAATCTGGTACTAGAGGGATAGTTATATATATGGATTTGCAAGAGTGAGAGGTGGTGACAGCAAGTGGGAAGTGAAACAAGTACACAGCAGTGGTGGCACCTCCCACTGGTAGTGGGCGGGGCATGTGACGCGCCTGCCAGACGTCCACTCCTGGCAAGCGCCTCATGTATATTTCCTGGATACCTGGATATCACTTTCATTGTTATTATGAACCTACATTCTAATATACCTATTAGAGAGTCGCTTTTTTTACAAATTCATTTGAATATAAGCGATCTACATAGGTGTGCTGTGTGGTATTACTGCGTTTTGTTTAAATAATTTTAATTGGAAGATTTACTTGTGTATCCCTTCTGGTGTGAAGAATACAAATAACTACTAAAGTCATCATTTTTACTTTACATTAATTTTCATCAATGAAGCGCACGTAGCTTATCCTAAAATCCTGAAAAAACCACAATAAAAATGAGTTCAATAATTTATGCAAGGTATCTCCTCCGACAGCGGACGCCTCTGTTTGCTGTGTCCTCGGGGGCGGGGTTTAGTTCTCTAGCCAATCGCAAGAGCGTATCTCCGTGTTAATTATCCAATCAGGGTTAGCCTGGAAGGCAGATGCGTCTCGCTGATTGGTTGTCGGTACATTAAAGTGCTTCATCACGCTTTGACGGGATGCCGAGAGTAAACCGTACATTGTGTTCCCAGTATCAGCGTAGCGGCCGTCGCACTAACCGTTTGTAATTGTGATAATTGTGTTGTGTCTGGACGCAGTGAGTGAGACATACTATCATGCTGGACCAGGAACTACTCGCCAAGGGGGGACTGACGGAGGGCCAGCAACAGCCGCCGCCTCACCTTACAAACCCGTACTCGCAGTTCCAGCAATACCAGCAGAGCATGGCTGGCTATAACAATATGGGCTATGGCTTCCCGGCTATGTATGCCCAGAACGGCTATGGCTATCCTCTCCCGGGCTACCCACACGCTCCTAGCCCGCCCTCAGACGGTAAGTCGCATACGCTATCAATGGGCAAATTACATTTCTCACTCTCTCGATGGATGACGGACTGCCGCTGGTCGGAGCAGAACATTCGATGCACCACCTGCCATCGCTTCCTCAACTATCTTTTACCATAATTCGTAAAAAATCCTTTTTTTTTTTTTTCGAATGCATTTCTGGCTCCGCCACCTCCGGTGATCTACAACTGGCAATGTGCGGCGTGAGACGTTTAACATGTCCAAAACTTACGATGATCAACGGCGGCCTCCTCAGAGCGCTGTAAATCACCTCTGGGAGCCTGCTAGTTCCAGCGACATGTCGGGAAGATTATTGCCTCCTGATCTTCCCCTTCCCCCTCCTCCTCCCCCTCCCCCTCCTCTCTCTCTTCCCCCCACCCTCCCTCGCCCCAGCCGGGCGCGTCCTCATCGTCATTATAGTAACGGAATCATTATTATCATTATCTCCATTACGATAAGTGCATAATGACCGCAAACTGGTGCCCATCTCCTCCACGTGGCTTTGTTTACACCCCACCTGCTTATTAATGCCACTTCCAGTTGTATTAATACACAGATTTACTTTACACTTTAATTACTTTTTTTTTTTGGGGGGGGGGGGGGGAGAGGTAAATTTCACGGGATCAACATTTACTGTGAGTATCAAGGCTTAAACAAAAGAAATAAAACGAAGGAACACTGCGAAGGCCTACGGCCCCAGCGGGCAGGCCAAAGTCCCACCGGTTAAAGCCAATGCACCCAACCCTAGTCAGGTCGGTCACATTGACTAAAGGGAGGAACACGGCAACCGACCGTTAGCACAAGCTATCAGGTCTAACTCACACCCCCACATCTACTCATGTATTTATCCAACCATTTTTAAAGCACAAAACGTTCTGGCCCCTCTATAACGGTAGGGGGATTTTTTCCCATCACCCAAACTTATTACCAAACCGTTTTCCTATACCCCTCCTAAATCTAAATTTTTTCCAACTTAAAACCATTGCTGCGAGCCGTCTAGAAAGATATTATCAGCAACTATTTACATCCCCTTTATTTTTCCGTTTCCATTTATAACCTCAAAATCCCCCCCCCAAATTCTACGTCTTTCTAGGGGAGTGCAGTTTCGGGGCCCCTTTGTCTATCCTTGGGGAAGGTTTCGATCGGGGGATCATCTTTGTCATCCTCCTTTGTACATTTTTTCCCGAGAAAATTTTTAAACCCTTCGTAATACGGTGACCAAAATGTGCAGCTAATTAAATGAGGCCTAACCAAAGGGGTAAAGTTAAGAAAAAAACCGAGGACTCCTATTATTTTAGCTTCTTGTATGAAGCCAAGGTTTTTTGCTTTTTTGCGAACACTTATGCACTGTTGTCTTTGGGTTTCAGATTACTGCTAACCAGATTTCCCTAATCTTTTCGCAATCCGATATTAAGATCTACATTATTTAGTTTATATGTGCATGGTTATTGTCTGTCAACATTTTAGAACTTTGCATTTGTCTATATTAAACTGCATCTGCCACTTCTCCGACCACTGCATCAGTCTATTCAAATCTTCCTGGAGTGCTCCGAATGCCCTCGTCAGAAAATGAATTCGACGGCCTTTTTGGGTTGTCACGGCAAACCTTCCGAGTCGCTCTTTATGCCCTCATCTAGTCGTTTAGTAGATTGTGAACAAGGGGCCCAACACTGACCCTGTGGAACACCGCTCGTGGACGCTTCCCCACTCTGATTTCTCCCCATTTATGCAACTCTTGTGCCTATTTGTCAACCATGCCTCTATCCAAAAAAAAATTTTCCTCCTATTCCTGTGCTTTTTTTTTCCTCAATAGTCTCTGATTGGGACCTTCAAAAGCCTTACTGAAGTCCAAATACACAATATCAATTGGGTACCTTATCTACCTCCTCAAATACCTTAGTGAAAAAGTTATAAATTCGTAGGAAGGAACGTCCCTTTTTTAAACCATGCTGAGTTCTTTGATTAATTTATGCTTTTCAAGGTGGCTACGAACTCCTCGGCAATTATTGATTCCATAAATTTTCCCACTAGGAGGTTAGGCTTATTGGTCTATAGTTCGAAGCTAAGGACCTGTCACCGTTTTGAAAATAGGTATCACATTTCCCCTTTCCATTATTCTGGCAAATGCATTTTTGTAGTGATATGTTGAAAAGATTAGCCAAAGGTGTGCTAAGCTCCTCTTTACATTCCTTTAGAACCCTTGCATACAGTTGACAAACGCTCTCGTGCATTATCAACACAGTGTCACCCTCAATATCGTCTGCAAGGCCTTGAGATATTTCAAGGAACGAATAGAATGCTAGATACGAAAATCTGACGCATGTTTCTTATTTATCAACGAACAGATGACACGTGTGTCTTACCAACGAACAGCTGACATATTTACTTTGAAGTCGTTGCAGAGATATAAATTCTTTGACTTCTCCAGTCAGATGTTTGAATTATTGTGAGTTTTTAATATTTTTAACACTATACAAGAATTTCTTCCTTCACTAAGGAGCTCCTAACGCAAATTACAGGGTTTATAAAACGCTCTGAGTTCAGCTCCATGGTCTGGAACGATATCATTCCAGACCATGAAGTTGAGGGATTGACCACCTCAAATACTTTTTCTCCAAGGTTGATGGACTGATTACATCATCTTTTCCACAACTACACCTGTTCCCTCTGTATCTGACTGAAGAAGCCTACTGTATATGCGAGGCGCTTCAACAATAAAGATTCCCAGCTGTTGCACGTGTCTTAATCTTCAATTTACCGGTATTTTATACTATTTTCAACATATCAGTTTAGTGTAGCTGGCGCTGCCATGGGATTCCGTGAAGAACTGAAGGATTTGTAACCTATGGTGGCGCTCACCTGGATATCTTGAAACAGGACTCAGTATATAGGCCCAACACTGTCAGTGTAGGCCCTATATAATGAGACCTAAGTAATGGTCTTATCCTGCAAAAGTCATTCAGACTGCTGAGTCCGACCGTCCGACGCGCTGTGCCTTCAGTCGCCATGAGGCCAACTGCTACCACATTTAACATCGTTTTGCCACTCCAATGATGTGATGCTGACGATAACACTACACGGGGCATCATATAACAAAGATCAGTGTCAGGTGATTTTTCGTAATGAACGCAGTGACAACAGCAACAATAAGATACCGGGTCACCACATGAAGACCTGGGCCGGGACCTGTCCCGGCGAACCTACCAGTACCTGGAACATTAAGATTGCAGTAGGGGCAGTGTTGGGTCTCACTCTAGGAGTGAGGTCCTCGGTCAATGTCCTTCGTGTTTAATTTATTGCGACTCTTTGACTAACGGGATATATGAAGCAGCTGTGGATAAATGGAACAAACAGCCGAGTAGCGTTAATGTAGCGAGAACTTTGGGTAGTTTTAAAAATAGGTTGGACAGGCACATGAGTGGGAGTGGGCTGGTATAATTTGAACCTGCCTAGCATAGGCCAGTAGGCCTGCCGCAGTGCTCCTCCTTTATGGTCTTGTTGGTAGTATTTTATATATATATATATATTATATATATATTATATATATATATATATATATATATATATATATATATATATATATATATATATATATATATGTCGTGCCGAATAGGCAGAACTTGCATTCTTGGCTTAAATAGCAACGCTCATCTTGCCATATAGGACAAGTGAAAATTTATGTATGCAATAATTTCGCCAAAATCATTCTGAGCCTAACGAAAAAACTATATTTAGTTGTGTTTGTTTAGTATTAAATTATTGTAAAAGTATCTAAAATATATTTAGTTGGATTAGGCTAAAATAAATTATGACTGTTATAATAAGGTTAGGTAAGTTTTCTAAGATTCTTTTGGTGCAAAATTATAAATTTTTACATCAGCATTAATGAAAAAAATATATCTTTAAACGTACAAGAGAAATTTTTAGAAAGGACTTAATTTTAAATGAGATCTTGCTAATTGACCAATTTTACATATTCGGCACGACCTTATAATATATATATATATATATATATATATATATATATATATATATATATTATATATATATATATATTATATTATATATATATACACACACACACACACAACAAGTCGGCCGTCTCCCACCGAGGCAAGGTGACCCAAAAAAGAAAGAAAATCCCCAAAAAGAAAACACTTTCATCATTCAACACTTTTACCACACACACATTATCACTGTTTTTGCAGAGGTGCTCAGAATACAACAGTTTAGAAGCATACACATATAAAGATACACAACATATCCCTCCAAACTGCCAATATCCCAAACCCCTCCTTTAAAGTGCAGGCATTGTACTTCCCATTTCCAGGACTCAAGTCCGACTATATGAAAATAACCGGTTTCCCTGAATCCCTTCACTAAATATTACCCTGCTCACACTCCAACAGATCGTCAGGTCCCAAGTACCATTCGTCTCCATTCACTCCTATCTAACAAAACAACCACTGTGAAAGAATAGTGAAATTCCAAGCGCTTTCGTGACTTCTCACATTATCAAGGAACTACAAAAACAATATATCTAAAGAAGGCATATAAAGGGTCAAGACTACGCCTCGCCATCACACAACAAAGAAACACCAAACGCGTGACGACACCCGACTCGTAAGAAAGGAGGAACACTGCAGCAGGCCTGTTGGCCCATACTAGGCAGGTACTTGGGTAGAATATTTTGTTAAGTGGCATGGACTACGAAGGCCCTGCCTAGTATGGGCCAACAGGCCTACTGTAGTGTTCCTTTCTTATGAGTCGGGTGTCGTCACGCGTCAGGTGTTTCTTTGTTGTGGGATGTGATGGTGAGGTGTAGTCTTGACCCTTTATATGCCTTCCTTAGATG